GGACTAGGTAACTCTTCACACATCTTGAAGGTCCGATGATGGCTTTTCTTTTGAACGTCTAGTCATTTACCCCCTGTCTACCTAGCCAACGTTGATCACCCCCCATTGAGATTGAACCGAACCTAACTTATCTCATGTAGCCTTACTCTAGCGTGAGTCAGACGATCCAGATTGCTATGATGGCAGCGTCCCAAAGCCTTGTAAACTGAAGGCTCCTTGCGCAATCAAACTAGCATTTTATCGCCTTGAGTGTCGATCAGGTGAAATTCTAGTTGGATGAGCACGCCGATTTTCTAAATACGGTAGGCGCAGAAAGTACCTGGAGGCTCGTGTTCACTGCTTACCTAGCGAGAACTCATGGAAATCGGCAATCACTACTTCTATGCTGCTCTTTCCCTATGATGGTATTTCCTACTGGATCGTTCGAAAGTACACTGCCGGTCGATAGACTGAGCCTTAGGGGTCCCAAGGCTCAGTCCATCGATTCGTTAGGTAATAGCAGTGAATACCTGCCCCCACGTACATTTCGCACCTACCGTATTCAGAAAAGTGGCGTGCCCATCAGACTAGAATTGCACTCTCGAACAAAAACACCAGATCAAACATATCCGAGCACTTATTTCTTTCGCATATTTTCTCCTTCCACTTTCTATCCATTCAATCTTACAGTTGGTCTTTGATATCTGTGGAATTCGAAGAAACGAAATACCTGTGAAATCTTTAAGCTGAGCAAACAGTGTGAGACGCGCAAAGGTACCACTTAATCAATTAAAGCGCAAGTATTACGGTATCAGTTGAGAAATCTGCTCGCCGCTGTAACTTGGATCTCCTGACACGCATCCATTCTTAGACTCATATCTCCTACACTTACGCTGGGACAGTGACGTACCTCACCATACTCGCAGCACGGCTGCGTGTTACAAGTCATCGTCTCTACGGCTGCTCCGATACATTGGCAGGTCGGACAGGCATAGGTGTTACACAGACGAGTTCGGGAGCAGGTGCCGCCACCGCAGGTCACACTAAATGGGATGATAACTCTCACGTTAGAGTTGGATTGTTGACGATCACGAGGAAACGTACCTGCAAACACCCCACGGACCCCATTCTGCCCACTGTGCAGTGGGCTGTACAGGTTGCACAGGCTGTACGGGCTGTACAGGCTGTACCGGTTGCACTGGCACGTACACACATGGCCTTGCTTCACTAGCTGAACCCACACAAGTAACCATTGAGCAGGTACGGTAGCGCGTTTGAGAATGTGCTAAAAATCAGACGTTCACCGGAAGTTAAATAAAATTAAAAAAGAAAACAAAAAAGAATATAATTCAAAAATAAAATAAAAAAAGGAGAGATAATGGACGTGTCATTTTGGGAAGCGCCACGCATGCGCTCTCTGTTCGGGTTTGTGAGAGCCTCTGAGGAGTATTTAGTTCACACAAAACTTCCGAATTGGCGGGGCTCTGATCCAAAATATCACTCTCTGGTGTCGACTAAAACAACCCAAAGAGGGGAATTGCGCCGTAGCGCCGTAATGTTTTAGCTTCAGAATTCAAACCACTAATTTTGTAACGCTACAGTGCCGCTTGCAATTTTTCGGACACTTCATGAAAACTATAATAATAGGAAAGGATCTCGAGCAAAATCAATCGAATACCCCAGAGAGTGAGTCGTTCAATCGATACGAAATCAATAACTTACTTCCAAACATTGTAACACATTCCGCCCATTCACTCCATTGTGACCATTCACCATTCGCTACTTGGCAATTGGCGCATCCACCTGGCAGAACGCCAGTGCCGATAATTTGGGCAGAAGCACCTGAATGAAAGAATCAAATTCGTACATGGAAAGATCATTAGTAGAAGGAGGCTTTCTGTTTAACAAGAAAATGAAAATTTGACAGGGATAGTTCAAAATCAGGTCATAGTCGTCAGCTCTTCACTAGTTGCCTCTAAATCACCATGGAAGTGAATTTAAAGAGTATAATTTCCTCAATTTGTGATGGCTTTCTAAATATGTCGCAAAACGCTAGGAAGAAGGTGGTTAAGAGTACGACCTTCAAATTCACGTTTAGGTCTGTTTACGTCTTAAGAAAATTATGAAATTTACAGATAGAAATGAGCGAGGTCGCAATTTGTGAGGGTAGTGATCTGAGCGGAAGTGGTGTAGAGCGGCAAGTGGCGCTGTCTACTATGCGCTACCTCCCAATCAGAACCTTTTCTTGGGTATTGTCCTTCCAGACAAGCTTGTTAGTAATCAAAGAGTCCGAAGGTATGGAAAACTTGGTTTGCCTGAACGGAGTACAATCCGGGATTCGAAGCCCATACCGAAGCCGGTAAATGGCGCCTTTTACCACTACATCACTCCTTCCCCTGGCCAGTCCTACCTTCTGCTAAATTTCATTCATTGCTGATAACCTTAAGGACAAAAGCAAGGAGCAATAGGAACAACGTAAGCATCATTAGGCTAGAAAAGAGTGCTCCATTTACAAACTTCTGTCTCATTAAGAAACACTAGAGGAGGCTCCTAGGTTAAGCATTTACTTGATGTACACTCAATGCTGTTGAGTTAGTCCGAAGGTAGAACCGAAGGGTAGTAAGGGCTCAAGCTCATATGTATGAGGCCTTTCCTGGTCGAAGGTTTGACACCGAAAGCTAAGTCCCCTTTTCCCCTAATTGCTCGGTTCCTATCTTCCTACGCTCTTTAGAGGATGAACATGGCAAATGAAAGGTTAATCAAAATCGATCATCAATTTAGCAAACGTTTCATCTCTTAAAGGTGAATGAATAAGGACAGATAAGAGAATGCAAAGGAAATCCCGTTGCGTCGAGCATCCCGACGACGGCGCGATTGCAGGGGCTCCAGGGAATCGTTCGCGCTGGGTGGTAAACAGCTGGTGCTGGTAGACAGACAAATCCACTGGTTAAAGTGATAGGTTTGTGTGATCGAACTCACCTTGAAGGGCAGTTAAAACAAGGGCAGTGAGGAACATTCGTTCGAGATCGACTTTGTTCTGTGAAGCATTCTCTTAAATACAAACATACAACTCAACCTTTGTTTGCCAAGAGTTCAAAGCCCGCCCACGATCAGTTGTTTATTTTGGGTGCCAACGGTCTGAAGCCGGTCCGGTTAGAACGCTTACCTGTACCCTAAAGAAGTGATTCATTCAAAAGGATGCCGCATTGCAACATCTGGGATTCTCCTGTGTCTGAAGGTAGCCCTCGGAACTGATAGTACTCCTAGGGATAATGGCTCATTGAACCAATCTGGGCCGATATATCGACTGTGTACTTGCTGGCTCGCAATATGGCATTCGAACTGCCCGCTCACTATAGCTTTTCCATAGCTGTTCTTCTAACGATAGGTTCTGAGAGCGTGTGCTGCTGTCTCTCAGGAGAATCTGAGAAAAAACCCCGTCAGTTTTCCTTGAGCCCAACCAGTGCTGCCTCAAGGGCATAGTTGTGAGCTAGATTCCTAACCCATCCTGCTCGAAAGAGTGCTGCTTACGTCCATGAGCCTGAAGTTCAAAGATGCTGAAATGGACTTCCCATTTGATACCACAGCATCCATTCCAGTTCATGGGCTCGCGGACGGCTCCAGAGGTGAAGGATACCGTCGGATACGAGAATAGAGGAAGACGAGAATGTCTATGACAAGGAAAGGTTTTGAATACTGAAGCTCCCAACGTTGATCAATTCTTATTGCTATGCACTCTACCCGTTCGGAATTATAGTGGCATTAGAATGCGGACTGGAGACTTCAGAAAGCAACCGATGTAAAAGTTAGTGGTTTTTTCTCCCATGTAAGCGATGGCAGGGCGGAAGTGGTGTAGTGGCAAGTGGCACGCTTACCACGCGAGCGGTCCGGGGATCAAATCCTGGGTCGTGAGTCGCCCGGGCCAACCAAGCCTTCCATCCCTCCGGGGTCGGTTAATTGGTACCAGACTTGTCTGGGAGGATAAAAACACTGACTTGTACATCGGCTGGCCCCCGCAAGTCATTGTATAGGCCACATCGCATTCAAACGCCACTACGAATGTACAAATGGAAGTAGAATGCGTGCCGCATCCAAAAATGGATTGATCAACACGAAAGTGGCGCATTTTAGATCAGCTTTCCTGTGTTTTTTTTTCGGAAATCTGTTCGGTAGTGGTTCATTGTGATATCTGATTTTGGTAAATGATAGCTTGTAATTGACAGCTGATAGCATAGAACTGCAGGCTAATCTTTCATTGGCAAACATTTGCATTTTGTGGAGGCTGTCTTCACTTGTAGTGTATGCTCTGCACCCGACACTCGTCTTGTTTTTCGAAAGGGTGAGTATGAAATGAACTTTGAGAAACTGAGCCGACGGCCATGACTCAACAAGAAGGGCCAAGCTCGAAATAGGGAGCCCTCCTTATAATCAAAGGCTTGTGTTAGTCCATCCATCTATGGTGTATAATGGAACAAACCAGCAAGCAATACCATCAAAAGTCGAAGAAGCGAAGAACGAATTTGTAGTGATTATCGATCTCCACAGCGTCTTATAAGTTGGTGCACACCAGCCGTCCCGTACATTTCGCGCCTACCGTTCTCAAAAATCGGCGTGCCCATCCGACCAGCATTGCACCGAGAAATGTTTATGTGGTCATTAAGTGTAAATAAAAGGTTTTTTCTAAGAGGTTTAGTGTCGGAAAACATCTTGGATTATCGCTGATGGTGAAATGTCAAATGATCAGCCAAAAAATTTTGACGTGAGGGACGAAACGTCAGCGGCAAACACATTTGACGGTACTGTATGTTTTGCAAGAAGCAGTCGGTGATCACTTTTTCACATTAGCTCTTCTTTTCACATCACCTATCTTCTTAGAAATTAATCACCCATAGGCAACATATATGCATACTGAAAACGACCAAGCGGCTCCCTTAAGAGTCATAAAAATCCTATTGAGACAAACTTCCCAAGACAAACTTCAAATCTGGCCTCTTTTTCGCAACGTATAAGTCAAATACGACTATCCTCGACCAGGGTGAATATCGGTCGAGGAAATCCTCGACAGGGGGGTCGTATTTGTCAGGGTGGGTCATGGGGGGTCGTACTCTTGGGGGTCAGTAACGTGGCATCGTGGTGCAGATAGGAGCGCAGCAGAAAACAGGGATATGTGAGAAACATGAGATAAAATATTCTTTGCAGGTGCAGTCGCTCCGTCCCTCTTCGAGAAGGAAGTATTTGAAAGTACTACAAAGAATGAAAGTGCATCTTTGCAAGGAACAGGGTCACATGTGCACACGCGCTGCGAAGGCATTTCCTCTATCTACTCCCCCCAATACCTCGTTGAGAATGACACTGTTGTTAGGGACGCTGTCGCAAAAACGGCAATAGTTCTGGAAAGACCCTGGGCAAATGAAGCTGTTCCTTAGGTTACAGGAGTTACGAAATGTGTTTACTACAATACAGTTTCTGTCAACAGGTCATCATCATATGTATAACACCTTTCAATAGATTCTACAACTTGAGTGGAGGTCGGATGCATGGCCTATACTGAGACGAGATCGGACGATGACGATTGCCCTTTTTCTTGTCGCTTACGTTGGGAAAATTTATTCTAGACACATTTCGAGAGTTGCCAACGAATTAACTTGCAATGGTGAAGAAGGGAGCGGTTTTTAGGTGGCCGAGATCCATCCTCGATAGATCCTCGACGCAAATATCTCCTCAACTAGAAAATGTAGAAGAAAGCTAAACAGACTGTTAGAAAGCGCAAACCTTCCGCTTTCCAAAACTGTCTTCTTTTTCAAGTCTACGAAATTAGAGAGATATTGCCTTTTAAGTGGCAAAAACTCGCATGAAAAAGCATCCTCGACGCTGCCTCGACAAAATTTGAGAGACCCTATCTCTTCGAGTGTAAAGATTTTAGATCAATTTCAATATTGCCCGGTAGTAGCAAATCCAGCTCTATCTAACCCTACCACATACTGCTCCAAAGGTTATGAAATGGGGGAATGGAACCTTTTCATCGAGAGTGTAGATTTCGACGGTTTCGAGCGGGGTTTCGGCAAATCTGACCCACGGATAAACCGCGCTGCAACTGAATGCTTTGCTGTACATTGATGGAACTCGCTTATTCACATCAAATCAAAGTTAGAGGGGTCGTATCAAGACCCGATCTGAGGGGGGTCGTACCATGAGCAAAGCCCGACACGATTTTCACCCTGTCCTCGACTGCCCTTTGACCCCAATATATACTGAAGAGGGCAATATGCTGGGAGGAGTACCCGGCCGTGTGCCGTAGTGCGAACACAGGACTTCTTATCGCAAATCACACTTCCTGCGAGCACTTACTGCGAATACTGTGAAGGTGAAGTGGCATTTTTCCGTGGAAACTAAACAGAGTGCAGTCTGAAAAACTGGGCTTCACCTGCGATTCGTGAGTATGTCAGTCGGAAACGTTGCTTTGTACTTATGCAAAGAAATTGTTCCCTTCAAATAGCAGGGGAACAGTCTTTCATTGGTTTTCAACGTCCATATCATCCAACCCATTTTGGTCTGAAGATCAGCCATTATCTGGAATTATGGCTCTAGCGTAGCATAGGTTATCCCTTCTCAACCCTTTGCAAGCTCAGCAATTTTTAAAGCATTTGCATTTAGTTTATAGCAAAAAGCAGCCCTATTGAATGAACTTTTCCTTTATTGATTCCCAAATATGATTGATTCCCAAGTATAAGCGGAAAAAGAACAAGAAAGCAGGAGTTATGCTACCAACGGCATCAGTTCCCAAAACTCACACTAGCTTGATTGGCTTAGGCAAAATTTGATCCAGAACGTAATCTAGGACTGTGTAAATAAGGACCTGGAATTCTGGAAAAAATGAAGTGTACCAAAACATTCGACGTTCGCCCCACCCTTTGAACAGTTGAAAAGTTGAACACACTCGATGAATATTAAACTCCCCAAAAATCTTAATTCAAAAAAGTTTTCATGGTGATGGTTATGCGTTTCTGCGTCTGGCTATCGCACCAACCGTTACATTGAAGAAATCCTTCCTAAAAAAATCATGATTCTATTTATTTCACTCATAAATCACTGGCTTGAGACCCATCAAGAACGAAGAACAAAAAAATTGTATTTTTGGTAAACAATTCGAAAAACCGGAAGGCTGCTACGCGTTCAAATTCCCGCCGGACATCTGTCACAAATGCTGGCCGCGCAAACGTTTCCGTAGAGAAAGGCTGAACCAATGTCTGTTTTCAGTACAGAACATGCTTGGCCGTGATAAAGGGTATAGTAAGCTCCCACAGAGCATCGACGAGAATCTGCATTTTTGCACTTTTTTTTAAAATTTTCGACGTTTAGGCAGACGCAGCAATGCAAACCATCACCATGAAAACTTTTCTAGATGAAGATTTTCTGGGGAGTTTAATATTCATATAGTTCCTTACATGCACAGCCCATAGATTACATTCTGGATCAAATTTTGCCTGAGCCAGTCAAGTCTCTATCTCTACGGGGTGTTTGAGTGGTATGGCACTCATCTGGGAGGATAGAAACATTGACTTGCTATTGATTATATGCATGTGTAGTACAAAAGGGCACAGTATGCGGTTGCATTTTGTGGTAGATGTTTTTATTGGTGCCCCGGTAGCGTAACTGGTAGCGCACTTGTCCCGGAAAGCGAGAGGTGCGGGTTCTAGTCCCGCCTGGGGCGAAAGTTTTGTTCACAACCCAGCATTCTTGTGAAACATTCGCTTGCTAATTTACTACTTACAGCATCTCACAGTACAGGCTGAGTCTCATCAAAATGCCATTACAAAGCCCAGTTGAAGTAGACTGCGTGGCGCATCCCAGAACGGATTAATCAATGTCGGAAGTTTCGTAGTTTTA